TATGCCCGGTAAGACGATGTTCCGTCGATGTATCGCCGGTCAAAAACAGCCGAATCTGTAAGTTCTGGAAAAAGTTCTAAAAAATTTCTCGGTTACTGTTTAAAAGTAAATATATTGTTGTGCAAAATTTTTTCTAAACTAATCTTTTCTTTAAGACTTGTAAAGTCAAAGAAAAAAAAAATGAAGAAAAATTTGGTGATACGAAACGAGCAGTTATGATTAGAAATTTCACTAATGTACAGACATATATACAGCACTGTATAAATAGACATTTAAGCATTTATATTTATGTTCATATATAATTGAAATTTTAATTTATATTTACCTTTATTTATATGTATATGTTAACATTTAAATATAAAAACATAAAAATAAAAAAAGAAAATAAAGAGCAACAACAATATAGTTTTGGTGCCTCTGAACACAACAGTTACTGCTGCACTGAAATAGTGCTAATAATGCTATCTTTCCTCTCTCTTTTTTATTCCTCTCCTCTCATTTTTTGGTAAGAACTTGTCGAAAAAGAAGAAAATAAAAGTGGAACAGACACTTTCACTTATTGTCAGTCTAATGATCGAGAAAAAAAAGTGGAAAAAAAAAAAGAAAGAAAAAAAGATTGTTGAGAAGAACACTTTTTTGGGGGAAAGAGCGAACGGGGTAGGGGAGGATGAAGGGGTTAAGGCAGTGTGGAAGGGTGAGTTTCAATATATTTTGTGTACTTCAACCAAACGCTTTTCGGAAATTTTGGTTGAAGTTGAAGACGAACAAAAGTGTTCAGCAATTTTAAAATTTACGCACACAACAAAACGAAGAGATGTACCAAAAAAAAAATTAAAACACAATAGAACTTTTGCTGATATTTATTAAAGCACAACAAATCGACACCTCAATACATATCTGTTTGTTTCATCCTAAGTGTTGTTGTTGCTGCTGTTACCAACAAGATACTATTTTTGCAGCTTCTGACCGTATTTGTTGCCATCGTTATTACCATGCGGTGTCATCTACCACAATAATTCAATATTACTTAAAAAATGATATTATATACAATTAAGATAGATAAGAATT